GGGAATGGGACCCCCACGCAACTTGAAGCACGGCTGGCTGGGGAATTCTGGGAGTTGAAGTCCACTCATCTTAAAGTGGCCAAGTTTGGACAACACTGACCTATGTGATTGCTAAGAATCAATACTGACCTGATAGCACATAATTGTCATAATTAGACCATCAACTAATTACAGCACTTGGGTTCACACAACATGCTAGGATGCAAATGTGCTGGGGAATTCTGGGAGTTGAAGTCCACTCATCTTAAAGTGGCCAAGTTTGGACAACACTGACTTACTGCATCACGTGGCAGCCTGTTCCGCCGGCTGACTGCTCACGCAGCCAGAAATTTCCTCCTGACCTCTAGCCTGAATCTCCTCCCTTGTGATATTAACCCACCGGGTTGAAATCACCCTGCTCCTGAGAATGTTTCCCCACCTGCGGTTCCCGGCCCGCTGGATTCACTTCCCAGGAAGCCCAGACGGAAGCCTTTGGTGCTTCCGTGCCAGACAAAACAGGATGGAGTCTCCCGGGACCGAAACCACCTCCGAAGCCTGTTATTATGGCCCCTGTATACACCCTGCGCTATAATGAGCCAGCAAATTAATTTGCACGGCGGGGAGTTAATGAGCACTCTGCGGACGGACCGCCACGTCACCAGACAGAAAACAGAGGTGCCTCTTTCTGTGCTCTGCAAAATCCACGACACCAAAGAGGATGAGAGGATTGCAGAAAGCCACGTGACAGATTCCAGCCCAAGTCTTCCTCGGCCAGCCCAACCCCCTGAAACCTGCCGGACCGGCTTTTGCAGAAGAACCAGGCTCTGAAGGCAAGGGAGGTCAGATGGTGGCTGGGGCAGTAAGCAGCAGAAGGATCTCCGAGGACCTGGCGAGGGATCTGATCCCTGCTGCCATTCGCTACTATCTCATGGAGCTGATGGGCAGGAAAAGCACCATGTTCACTACAGGTAGTCCTCAACTTACGATCATTCGTTTAGCGACTTTTTGAAGTTACGACAGCATTGAAAAAAGTGAGTTAGGACCGGTCCTCGCGCTTACAACTACCGCAGCATCCCTGCAGTCACGTGATCAAAATTCAGGCACTTGGCAACTGGCATGTATTTACAGCAGTTGCAGCGTCCTGGGGTCACATGATCACCATTTGCGACCTTCCCAGCCGGCTTCTGACAAGCAAAATCAACGAGGAACCACACAACTCACTTAACGGCCACTGCAAAAAAGTCATAAAATCAGGTGTGGTCACGTGATGCCTCGCTTAATGACTACACCACTTAATGACAATTTTTCGGTCCCTATTGTGGTCATAAGGCAAGGACTATCTGTACAGTATGCCCAATTCTGCAAGAACCTAGAACAGTGTTTCTCAACCAGGAAACTGCATTAAACTCCATTGCAAAGAATTCAAAATCAACCCAATCCCTAATGATAAACTAGACTCAAGATCTACTTTA